GGGAATACCGCTCAACCCAAAAACAAGCGCCTAAAAGCTGCGCTTAAAAAAAGAAAAAAAAAAATCATTTTTATGATTAGGGTGGCCAGTTCCGCTTATTATAAGCGGATTTCGGCTTCTTTTTTCACCGAGTCGCTGGTAAATTTTTCCAGTCGCTTGTCGCGTTTTTTTGGGCTTATTCGCGTTTTTCCTGCAAATATTGTTGTTTTATTGGATCGTCATGGCTCATTGACAGTGCGTTTGTAGTCAAAAACGCGAAAAACAGCATGACCGTCTGGCGCCGTGGTTAGGTGGCGCAAGGTACCGTCCGTCACAAAGTACATAACAATTACTATCCATTCACAAATGTTTTGGCGCCTTGCCCATCTTGCCAGTCGGCTCTGGGCAGTCGCGGTCGTGTCCCAAAAAGCGGTCCCTCGACCTCTGCCTGGTGACGTCGTAGAAGTGCCATGCAGCTGCCGGTTGCGATGCTGGAGGTCTCCCAGCAGCGCCGGTGGATGTGGCCGGCGCCTGTTCTACTGCAGTTCGCCAGTACACGGAAGCCTCGGCAGCCGGGAGTTGGGACGCCGCGACGATAGCGACACTCGCTTTCATTCGTGCTTTTTTGTTTTGTTTTGCCAGCATTTCTACGACCGACCGCCAGGATCGCGACATCGGACAGCACAACACTCCGGCTCCCGTTACGTCATTGGTTGCCACTTCGGGGCGAGCTGAGCGGCACACGAGCTTTCGTTTGTGTGATTCTGAAACCAACAAAATTAGGAGGTCGCCTTCAAACCTCTAAGTAAAATACCGACTAAATAAAAAAAAAGAGCTTTATGTTTTTGCCGCTTAAAATCCTCAATATAAGTGGCCCAACAAAACCGTCGTTTCTTTCTCGCGATTACATGTAAAAAAATACAACAAAGAAAACAAATCAACACGGAATATTTTTTGTTTGTTTTAAATGACTGTTTCGACAAACACAAAACAATAACAGCAATACAGTTTTTATCTTTTATGTTATTTTACGTCTACTCCTCACCCCCTTTTCTTCGACGAAGCGAAATACGAAAGACAAAAGAAAAATAAGCAGAAAAAAAAGAAAGCCGTTTATAACTCCCTGTAACACCGAATAGACTTCTTCCGAAACCGACGCGCCCCATCGCGGCGAAATATCACGCAGTGCACTCTGGAAACTAGTTGGCAACTCAGTTTCGGTTTCGAGTGAGCAGGTTCATCTCATTCTATCACGCCGCGACCGAACGCGCTGATTGCGTTTTCGACAGGGTTGGGCTGTTGATTATCTGACTTTTTACGAATGTACAATACACTCATTCTTGAGCGATAGAGAACGAAGACCGGGACACTTTCCTCGGTTCCCGAAGCACCGGATATTGTGCAAGCGTATGCAAACGTGTAAGACGTGGCTGAGTCACCTCACCCCGCGAGTGCATCTTTGAGCTCAATGTCAGTAATTCCGCCTAGTACCAGTGGACTAAAACTGAAATTTGGTCACCTTGAGCCCTACACGTATTTTGTTTGCCAAACGTCCGCTTCTTGTTACTTCGTTGGGCAAAAGCAAGCCGCATCTTCGCAGGATTATCAAAGTTGAGCCCAACGTTGGCGCATGGACTTTTAAGGAAACGCAATAAATTCGACCTCACTAATGCACAAAAGTTACTATGATGTCTTCTTCGTGTCGTCACATATCTCACACTCAAATTTTATGCTGATAGAAGATAAAGCTTTCGCAAACACTGAGATCGGCTAGCCACGACGGAGGCCCTAACAAGCGTCCCCTACTCCTCGGTAAGCCTTTTTGGATGAGCTTTTCCTGACGCCCAAGATCTGTGCCTGAACGGTGTGTCCGAAATTATCTCGGCATACTCAATCAGGAAGAAAGCACACACATAACAAATATTATAGTCATTAGCAACCGTCAAATGCGCTTTGAATAATTTCGTTCGTTTGGTGCACCCATAGGGGTTCATGCCCGTCCGGCGCCACTTCCGGCAAACGGTGCGGCATTCTTCACAAAAGTGCTCGACTTTTGCTGTCTTAAAACGGTGTGTATGTGCGAATGTGCCCATGGTTGCGGGATAACTTTATGCGCATACGCGATGTTGAATAATAGTGGAATGCAAGCGGGTGGAAACTTCACTTCCTGCAGTGCTGCGGGGCAGTACAGATGAGAGATGAGAAGTGTGCAGTACAGATGAGAGATGAGAAGAGATGAAAATGGCGCCTCCGAGCTTTAGCTCGCGTACTCAGGCGTATTAAGAAAACCAGTAATCGCAAAAAGTTATATTTCGTCTATGGACGCACGAAACAAACTTCCTGATTAACAATACTAATGTAAAGGCTTGAGCTCGATGTATGCATACTTATTGGTTGCTACAGCTTGCTGATTCGCACACGAGGAAGATCCCCGAGCTTCGCAGCGCCGAAATTCCCAGCGCCGAAATTCCCAGCACTGGCTCGTCCACATACCTCGAAACGCTAACAGAAAGGCTCAAGTACAAAAATACAACAAACATGCATTAAGACAAGCTGTGCGTCTAGGGCTTGTGCTAAAGCTTCAAGGTATGGCCATTTAAGTTAGTTTAGAGACCACAAATGACGCTCTCGAGACCAGAAAGCATGAGATAACGGCCGCTAATAGTCCACGCTCTGTGTGTGACCTCTAGTCGACCTGTCGATCGAAACCGAAACCATGCCATTCTCCTCCCTGGCCAACTAGTTCCCGGAGTGCAACGCGTGCCGTGTTGCATGCAGGACTTTATGGAAGTAGTCTATTCGAGCGCAACTCTTGAGAAGGAGGAGAAAAGGGTACTAAGGGGAGCGTACAGACCGTTCCATTAGGGTCATAGCAGAGAGGGTAAAAGAGAAAAAAATGCACTCCCCCTCTCACCCCGGATGTCGTCCGCTCCGCCGAGTGGGCTGTAGCTAGCGTCCGGCTGGCGTGCAAACTCTGTTTAAAATCGCGTCATTTTAAACCTTTCAAACGCAGATGCGCAGATTTTGGTATGCCAGTTGTCGTGTAATATTATGCTAGATAAAAAGACCCACAGGGTCCAATTGCGCTGTTACCTGCGTGCAAATAAAAAAAAAAAATAGGGAAAATTGTGTCAGATTGGCCGGTCTCTTTGGCGAAAAGTAAATCCGGTTGCTGTACCTTTTTTACTATACAAAGTTTGTACTGGTGTAGGCCTCTAGCGACCATGAGTGGAAGTCTGAACTAATAAATAAAACGTGCTCTCCTGCCGCAATACACGCAGTAGTTGAGGGTAGTACTGCCGGCTGACTCAACTACTATTTATGTAACGGAAAAAATATGCTAGTTGATCATTTAACAAAATAGAACAACAGAGAGCTCTAGGCTGATTTTGGAGTAGCCACAACTATTCTAAGAACGCGAACCACTTCACAACGGCAGCCACGAGCGAGAGTTCGATGTTCGGTAGAGCCCGCCGGTACAGCCCAAAGATGGAGAACGGCAACCTCCCGGTTTGTCGTCTGCTAGCGGAGTCGGGCGCGTGCCCTCTCTCTCGTTTTACCCCGCCGAACCCGCTGAACTTTCCGGAAGTGTGGAGAGGGCGCTGCGGTCGAACAAAATGGTGCCGCCCAGACAGCGCTAAATGGAATGGTCTTATACCGTTCCATTAGGGTCATAGCAGAGGGAGTAAAAAGCAACGAGGTAGAGGGGCTTAGAGCGATAAACCGGGGTTCCGGTCTGCACTCGAAAGTGACCCCCATAAGGCGGCTGCCATTGCACGTAAATTTGACCACTCGTCACATGACCAAACCAAAGACGTGACGTCACAGGAAAGATGGCAGCGCCCATGCAGCGGCTGGCCCCAGCTGGGCCCGAGCATTGGCCGGAGCTTGTCGAATGCTTTGTTCGTTGTCGTTCGTTTCGGCGAGTTGATTTTAGAGGTGGAAGCCGTCATATAAGGTTGTATGAGGCCGGTCGAAAGCGACTTCAGAGTTTAGCGTGGTGTCTGACGTATGTATAACGTAAAAATATGGAGGAACGGTGTGTACTTCGCTAGTGACCGACGGGGATATTGCCACGAAGGAGACAATCGGCTTTACGTTGCTCGGACCTGGGATTGGTTTGGACACCGCTAGGATAAATTTTAAGGCGACGTTTTTGTGCTCTTCTTGACCATCGGAACCTTCGAGATCTGCAGTAAAGCGTGTGCAATATATTTGGAGACACAGTTTAGCGACGGAAATTGCGTGAGTCGTGCTTGGCAGTGTGCAATCGTGGTGCCGCTTCGTTCAAATGACCGAACGCTCACTTTGGTTGTGCGGTGCACCGCAGAGCTGCCTTGCCGCTTGTAGTTCCCGCGCCGTGCTAAATGATACTGTGCTGCTTCCCAAATTGTTCCGGCGTAGACGTGCACTTTCATGGGGCACAAGTGTGCGGCGCGCCGAAGAGCTGCCTTCCAGCTGGTAGTTCCTGTGCCGTGCTTTAGGTGATGCTGTGCTGCCTACTAAATTGTTCTGGCGTAGACGTGCACTTTCACGGAGCACAGTTGTTGCAGTTGGTATTGATTCCGCTGGTCTGTCGCACGTTTCGTCGACACCAAAGTTTCATCAACACTCGTTACGCGAATTGCAAGCTGTAAGGACATTTCATCGCGCGTGTTACCTACCCAGTCCACCCGTTCACGCCGCTTTGTGACGGCGGTCTGCAGCGGCTCATTACCAGAAAAGTGGTTTCACATCGATTTCAGTTCAGCTCGTCGACGGCAGTCGCCAGACCCCGAAGGAGAGGATTTATTCGGACAGAATGCCACTAAAGCAATGCAGCTTCTTTAGTGGTCAGTGTTTCAATGTCGTTGGTTGCGGACACGTTTAACCTTTAAGAACTGTTTATTGAATGCTTAATGACGAGTTACATTGTGGTGCGTACTTCGCGCCCCGCGTCTGATATGCCTCTAATGTGCACTCTGTTGCGCCGCAGTACGCTGTCACCAACTTGCACCTTGTATGATCTATCACCACATTGTTCAGTCACGGTTGCTTTTGTCCACATCCCATCTTTGGTTGGGCGAAATGTTACTTTCTGTCCTTTCTTTAACGGATGAAGGTCTTTGGCTTGTCTGTCGTGGTAAAAAATCATTCTTCGTTTCTTCTCTTGTAATCGCTTACTGGCATTGACAACCCGTGGCTGCAACAGCTTCGTTGTCGTTGGCAGCGACGTTCGTGTACGTCGGCCCATGAGGAGTTGAGCTGGGCTTGCCTTCATGTGTTGCAACGGCGTGTTGCGATAATCCAGGAACGCCATTTGTGGGTCACTATTGCTGTCGCCAGCCTTCTTCAAAAGCATTTTGACGGTCTTCACTGCGAACTCTGCCATGCCGTTTGATCTTGGGTATGCAGGGCTTGACGTTGTGTGCTCAAAGTTCCATTCTACTGAAAACTTGTGGAATGCTTCACAGGCAAATTGTGGGCCGTTGTCCGTGACAAGGACTCTTGGGATGCCATGCCTTGCGAAGTGTGCTTTCAGTCTTCGTATTACATGAGCTGATGTTAGCGAGTTGAGTTGGTCGACCTCCCAGAAGTTGCTGTAATAGTCCACTGTGACTAGCAGGTGTTTGCCTTTGTGCTCCAGTATATCACATCCAACACGCTCCCAGGGGAAGTTGGGTTCTGGGTGAGGCTTTAGTGTCTCTCGCTGCTGTGCTGGTGTATGCTTCTGGCAAATCTCACAAGCTGAGATGTGGTCCTTTATCTCTGCATTCATGCTGGGCCAAAAGATGCTGTCCCGTGCACGTCGCAGAGTGCTTTCAACACCCATGTGTGATGAGTGCAGCTTTTCTTTCATCTCTCGACGTAGTGCTTTTGGTACAACCAGCCGTTGTCCTTTGTACACTATACCGTCTTCCACCACGAGCTCATCTCGGAATGGGAAGTACATTCTGATTTCTGGTGGAATGTTGTTCCTGTCCTGCGGCCATCCTGCCAGGATCACCATTACCAGTTTCTGCAAATTATCATCCTTCAACGTTGCCTTGCGGATCTGTTCTGCAGTTTCTTTTCGCACAGGTAAGTGGTTGATCATGTTGATGTCTTCCAGTTGCTGCTCACAGCCACCGTCCTGCAGAAATGCTCGTGACATTGTGTCGGCCAAAAGAAGTTCTTTCCCTGGTCGGTATTGAATGTCGATATTGTACCGTTGGGTCTGCAATATCATTCCCTGCAATCTTCTCGGGACCTGATCCAGCTGCTTCTTCATGATGGCTTGCAGAGGCTTGTGATCTGTGATCACAGTAGTGAGTCTTCCAAAAGTGTACTGGTGAAACTTGTTCAACGAGAAGACTATTGCAAGCATTTCCTTTTCAATTTGTGCGTAACGTACTTCAGTTGGGGTGAGAGCTCTGCTTGCAAAAGATATCGGCTGTCCCTCCTGAAGAAGTGCAGCTCCTAGACCACGCTCACTGGCGTCGCACTGTATCACAAGTGGTTTCTGTGGGTTGTAGTATGCCAACACCGGTGCCTTTACTACCAAGTTTTTTGCTTCTTCAAAAGCTTCAACTTGCTCCCTCTCCCATACCCATGGTGCATCCTTGATGACCAACTTTCTTAGTGGTTCTGTAACATGGGAGATCTTTGGTAGAAAACGTGCAAGGTAGTTGACCATCCCACAAAAGCGCTGAACAGCATTGACGTCCGTAGGTGGGGGCATCTCTTGAATGGCCCTGACCTTTTCAGGGTCGACTCGCAGTCCTTCTCTCGTCAATAGGTGTCCTAGAAAAGTCATACTTGAACAATGAAGCTCAGTTTTGTCTCTGTTGAGTCGCACGCCAATCTTCTCACACCTTTGTAGTAGGCTTTCAAGCTTTTTGTCATGATCTTGGCGAGCTTCACTTTTAGCTTCTCCAACTCCAAACACAAGGATGTCGTCTGCGACACACAATACACCATCTAGTCCATCCAGCGCTGACTGCAGTCTTTTTTGAAAAATTTCACTACTGACAGCAAGTCCAAATGGAAGGCGTAGCCAGCGGTAACGTCCCATTGGTGTCTGGAAGGTGGTGAGTACACTTGACTCTTCGTCCAAAGTGCACTGCCAATAGCCGTCACGCAGGTCCTGCTTCGAGAAGACCTTGGCTTTAGCAACTTCGGGCAGAATGTCGTCCAAGATTGGCAAGAAGTGTCGCTCTCGCTCCAAAACTTCATTAAGAGCTTGAGGATCAATGCAGATTCTCATATCACCATTTTTCTTCGTGGCAACAACCATTCGGCTCACCCACGGGGTTGGTTCGGTGACACTTTTGATGATTCCCCTTTGTTCTAGGTTTCTGATTGTCTTTTCTAGCTGCGGTTTAACACTCACTGGCACCCGACAGCCTGTCACCGCCTTTGGGCTTGCAGCAGGTTTAGTCACCAGGTGTACAAGTCCAGGTAATGAGCCTAAAGACTGTCCGAAGACGTCGGAGTGTCTTTCCATGATCTGTTCCAGTGCACCCTGTGCACCTGCAGCACTGATGCTGGCAACCAGACTGTAATTCACTGTGATCAGTCCCATCTGCTCGGCTGTCTTTCGTCCGATAAGGGGTCTGAGGTCATCACGCACCACGACAAAGTCAACAATGTGCTTGTGTCCATTAGCAGTGGTTACATTCAACCTCGCCTTGCCGTATGGCACTACCTTGGTACCATTCCACATTCTCAGCGTTGTAGACGTCGGCATTATCTGATCAGGCGACACATTTCTCTTAGTGATGACATTTACAGCAGCCCCGCTGTCAACCTGGAACCTTATTCCTTTTTGGTTCAGATTTAAAGTCGCAAACAGTGGACTTGGTTTGCCGCTTTGCACCATCAGTATTTCATCTGTGTCGTCTTCTGGCTCCAAACTGGCAACAGTCTTGCTGTTTTTACACACAACTGCAAAATGGTTCTGTTTTTTGCATTTGTTGCATGTTTTGTTCCATGCTGGACAAGCATTTCTAGCACGTGCATGATGGCTCCTACGGTACTTACAATGCTGTACTGCTTGATTCGAACTTGTCTTTTTATCTTTTGCTCGGTCAACAGGTGGTAGACGACGGCGTCTGTCTTTCACTGCATGAACTTCCTCAGTTGCTGGTCTGCCTTCCTTGAAGACTTTAAGTTGCAGCTTCGTTGACTCATGCGCTAGACATACCTTGACAACCTTTTCAAGCGACGGTTCATCAAGTCTTAGAATGTCCGCTCGCGCTTTCTCGTCATTCACTCCGCAGACAATCTGGTCTCGAATCATCTTCTCCCTTTCAGGTCCGAAGTTGCAGTCCCGAGTCTTCAATTTGAGATCGGTTAAAAACGTGTCGAACCTCTCGTCGGGGAGTTGTACTCGAGTGCGAAAGATGTAGCGGGAGTATACTTCGTTTTGCTTCGGTAAGAAGTGTGCATCCATAAGCCTCACCACGTGCTCAAAATCATACTCGGGGTGAGGTCTTTCTTGCGTTGCGCTTCCAAAGTTTAGCGTATTATAGATGTCCAGTAGGCTTTGTCCACCGATTGTCAAAAGGAGAGCAACTTGCCTTTCGGAGGATGTTCCACTGACATCCGTAGCTTTCATGTAGAGCGTGAGGGCTTGCTTGAAGGTGCGCCATTGTTCGTCAGCGTTGCTGTCGTTCTCGAACTTCGGCGGCGGCGGGATCCTTTCCATGTCGTCTTCAGTGGCTGCACTAGTGGACGAGCGCGTTGACTTCTACCACTTCTGACACCATGTTTCAATGTCGTTGGTTGCGGACACGTTTAACCTTTAAGAACTGTTTATTGAATGCTTAATGACGAGTTACATTGTGGTGCGTACTTCGCGCCCCGCGTCTGATATGCCTCTGCCTTTGGCCCGGAGGTGGATGGCGCCAAAATACACAGGAGGGTGGCGCCATCTAGCGACATGTCTTGTAACAGTCAGGATAGACTCTTTTCTGTCTGTTTTGTTATATTGTCACGGATGCTTGCTCCAGTCCTACTTTCTATCAATATTTTCCATTCTGGAAAGTTCCAGGCCATGCTCAGCTGTCATTGTATGTTCTGGCGGAGGTGCTGCGCACTTTACCCATAGCCCTTCACTCTGTGTGGACCCTGGCGGCTCCTCAGCCGAGTTGCCCGATAACAAGACACGGGTGGCACATTATCCCGAGGCTTAAACCCCCGGCGAGCCTTGAACCAAGCCCTATCTTGAGCCTGGCAGAAAAACCGCAAGACGAGCGAGTACCACAAGGACAAAACTCGGAAATACACCACGAAGAACTAGAAATCTAAGCCAGTCGCTGCTACCAGCAAGAACCACCGGAATAAGGTCTTTTGCCAGAAAAACCGAAGCTGACTAAGCCAACAATGACAAACGTGTAGCAGCAAACCACGTCCGCTCCCACCACCGTTTGCATGCCCGTCGAACCTCGCACTCTGATGCCTTTTCACGCAAGGTGCATAAGACGTCGAGGGCTGGATTGAACAATATGACCGTGTCGCCCACCACAGTGGGTAGATGGACAACCAGCTCCTGCAGAACCTATACTTCTCGTGGAAGAAACTGCGAGGCACTGGTTTGAGAACCACGAATCCTCCTTAACGTCGTGGGAAGTTTGCAAGATCGAGCTGAAGTGCAAGTTCATCAGCCAAAATTGACAAAAGAGAGCCGAATTCCTGATTCTGTCCAGGACACGGCCCCGATGAGAGCGTCACCACCTTCGGGGAGGATGTTTTGCTTCTGATGGAGCACCCATGCCAACCCTGATGCTACAGAAGACAAGAGGCTAAGAATACCATGTCCCTCATGTGAGGGACGACACCTTCGGCAGCCCTGTCCGCAACCCCACGCCAACAGTCGAAGGGTTCATATTGTCACGGGTGGTGACCAAAAACAATAAATAAACAGAAAGAAATAAACGTTCAATGTGGCGAACTTGTGCCAAAAATAAAAGGGTACAAAAGATACGAACAGAGCGTCGCGGGCGTCGAAGTCGGCGTAGCAGCATAGTCGAACGCTGGGGCGAAACTGACTCCGCTCGCCTTGCGGAATCCCTTATGTACTGTCGTGAGCAAAAGTCTGGATAACACGGGAGCGCCGACCGAATTGCATCGCCGCGCTCCCTGACGGCGGGGCGCCTGGTGCCGAGACCCGCACAATGCGCACGCGCGTCCTTTCTTATCTGCTGGCCCACTCGTTCGCTCGCTTCAACGCGATGCGCTCTTGAGCGACTAAATGGGCGCTAGGTGCCACCCCGGGAACCAAGATTCCGAAAGCCTCGCTCACCGCCCTGGACGAGCTCGCGTGCTCGGCGGCACGCGCCGTTCGCGCATATCTTTCCCGCGACTCGGCGACGCGTTAAAAACTGTCGGTTATGTTGATGCAGCCGCAATGAATTGCAGAACTTGTATTCGCGTACTCGGGGCAGCCTTGGGCTTCCTTCCGAGTGATCATGCACGCACGGTAAAGTGGTGAATGACAAGCAAAAAGAAAACGCCAAATAAGAAAGAAATATTTATTCAATCCCCCTCCCAAGAAAAAAACAAGAAAGAAAACGGAAGGAAAAAGAGGCGCTGCTTCAGTTTGGGTGACTTGTAATTTTTATATTGTTGATAGCGTCAGAAATAATCGAAAAAGCATCACCTTTCTGCAAAATGTTGCAATTCTGTTGTGTAATCGCAAAGCAGAAATGGAAATATTTCCCCCTCTGCAGCCATGCGCGGCGGCCATGGGAAACGCGCCGTGACGGTGACGCGGGGATCGATGCAGCTCAATGCCTCACGAAGAGCATTAGAGGGAGAAAAAGTAAACAGCCTTGAGCAGTGGCGTCGGAACTATTTTTTCCCTGGGGGAGCAAAAAAAAAAAATATTACCATAAACATCATCATCATCATCATTTATTTTCTTTGAGGGCTCATTCAGGCACTATACAGGGGTCGTGCATATAATTACATGAATAAATAAACACAGTTGACACACCGTCATAAGACCATGATATAAACACGCTACAAGTGAGCGCACTAACTGTGACAGATAATTAAAAAGCTAGAACCAAAAATGTATCCTTTGTGTGACGTTTTCTCAAGTTTTTGTTACCGATATTCTATTTGACCACACTGACTGTTTATGTACATGCATTATTTGACACGATGACGTTTCTCCTGTGTTCATAAATGATTAACGTAATTATGGAGAAACCAAATACCAAAGAGGAGACTGTAATTAGAAGGAATAGGGCAATAAATGCGATATATGAAAGATATATGCGTATTGATGGCGCAAATTAACTCTAATTCAAAGCAGTGCCAGTTGCTTAGAAAATCTAGGAAAGGAATTTCAGGAAGAACTAGTGGTCGAGTTAAACGTAACAGAGGTAACATTGAGAAATCTATAAATCGGTGACACGGTAGCCCTGTCGCTGAGGCAGCCTTGGAAGCGACACCAAAGTTATAAAAGCTACACACGTACACACAAGCCAGCCCACGTGTCCCGGTATATATGTAGATAGAAAAAAGGAAGGTTGGTCAGCGGTACCACAGATTTTCACTATTCGAAACTCCAGACATACAATAGGATATTATGACACATAAAAAAAGATTCCGCGTGAGATACCGTCAGCTGAGAGAAACGAACAAGCAAATGTTGTAAACGTGCTCCAGGAAAAATTACAACATGCGCAGCATCGTAGACCTAAAGTAACATTGCAAGAGTAATGTGCCTTTACATTGTCAGCGAGAAAATGATGTCAACGCAATTATAAACATAATTTAGATATGTTGTGCATACTTTATAAACAAAGAAAAATAAACGAACGATATTGGCCGTAAAAACGAACAGAAGCGTCGCTACAGTTTCCACCGTGACGTCATGGGGAGAACAGAGATTTTTCTCGTGAGATTATGATCGCACGAATCAAAACACAATCACGCTATCGAAAAATAAAGCAAAAAAGATCTTCCCAGTTATCAGCAGCCGATACCCAACTGTTCGCAAGTTGACTCGGCTGAAATATTGTCTCCTTGACTCACTGGCAGACCGCCAAAAGGAGCCACTGAAACTTCTCGGTGCTAATAACAATAACTCGTAATAAATATAGAGTTTAAATATACCCTCCTGAGTGATGTTAGAACTGGTCAAAATTCGCACAAACAGACTTAGGCATTTTTACATTTCACAGTCATGCTGTGCCAAACGTGGCCTTCCTTTCCGCGGTTCGTGCGACAAAGGTTTGAATTACGGAATCTAAGCTCAAAGTGGTCGTCAGCGCGCCGTGCACGTGCAATAAGAGTATATGAGTCAACCTTATTTCCTGTGACATTGTGCTTCGAAAGCAAGTTTTCATACGTCGCAGGGCACTGAAGGATCGTTCGGATGATGCCGACGACGCGGGGACCGTGAGAACGAGAAGCACAAGTTTGAAAACTTCCTCAAAAATTAGTTCCACGTTTGGAGCTTGATCCTTCAGCAATGCATGAACATCTTGGATGGTGTCGCACTTGCTGCTTCCAAGTGACGGCAGCATTATCAATTGTGCAGCAAGCCGGGAGACGTCGAAATCAGAAGTGCGGAGCCCCAGTTCCTCTTCCAAGACTGCGGCAGAGGGAGGCTTTCTCTTGGCGGCATCAGTCACAATTTCTTCTAGACGAACAAGCTCGTCGAGTCCAGGCTGCATGAATCTCCTTTGAATTTCCGCCGTCAGAGTATCGACCAGCTCAAAAAAATCCATTCTCAGGGCATCGTGGCGAACTTTCGAGGAGGCCGAGGGCTCGTCAAGCCGTTTAAACACGGCTTTTTTTCTCGGCCTCCGCCATTTTTTTTTAAATGGAAAATAAAGTATTATTATTATTATTATTATCATCATCATCATCTTGTGCATGGGGACTCTAGTTCTTATAAAATTAGAGTAATGATTGATATTGTGGTGTAAAAAGCTGACGTTGTGACCAGTACTGCTGCTTTGCATCCAGAAATTGTAGGGAAAATCAAGAAAATTGCTAATAATATAAATACATCAAACAATAAAACTGAGGGCTTACCAGTAGGGGTGTCGAGAACGCTGAGACTGCTGCTCGTGGATCGTCGCAGAACGAGGAGCTTGTTGACCATAAGGGCTTTGCTCAAAAACTTTGAAAAATTGAGGCCATATGGAGGCGAGAGTTCAGCTCGGGCAGGGGATTAAATAGTTGAAAAAGACTCCAGAAATATTCGAGACAGGCGAAGCTCTATATGTTTACTTCTCCACAGTCGCGTCATGGACAGAGAGGACAGACTCTCCAGCAGCAGTATTTTTTTCCTCTGCTCCGTCCCATCTCCCTCCACCGCACCAGCCAACAAAAGGACGTCGCCTGCTGGCGTCGACCCCGTCTAAGCCAAGCAAGGCTGCCTGACCTTGTCAGGATCCAGTAATCCCCCGTCGCCACAGACCTTTCCGCTTATCCCCAAGCTTCCGAAGAATCATCTACCGGCCAAAGGAAAGCGAGTCGCCTTCTTCCTGCTTCCTAGTCTCAGCTCTTCCATTCGCCGACACCGCGGCACTGGACCTTTTTGAAGTAGTTGAATGTCCCCACTTCCAGGAGAGAGGGGGTTGGCAGGTCGAGAGATGCTTCCGGCTAGTTAAGAAAGTCACTCACAGGAATAGTGCGGCTAACGCTAGAAGCCCCCAAGGGCGCTAGACTGGCTCCCGAAAACTC